CATGATTACCTTTAAATTGAAAAAATATATATTTAAAGTCCCACTTATATGTTGATATGCCAATAAAGCTGGCTTCCAACACTGTCGTAGGCAATTTTTCTAGGTTTTTATTCCTTTGATCAAGTATTTAACTTAATTACTTAATTTATCTATTGGAGAGGAGAGAAAGAGAAAGAGAGAGCATGAGCAGGGGAGAGGCAGAGAGAGAGAGAATCCTAAGCAGACTCCACATATCAGCGCAGAGCTCAACGTGGGGCTGGAACCCATGAACCATTGCGATCACGACCTGAGCCGAAACCACGAGTCGGGCGCTCAACCAACTGAGCCACCCAGTTGCCCCCCACTTTGATCAATTTTCAATGAGTTCCACCACCAGAACTGATGCCCTGTTCTCCGAGTCTTTAAATTCCCTAAATCTGTGAATTTGGAGACACCACTTTCTCAAAGTTCTACATATCTGACCGTGACTTTTTGGCCTCTTTCCCTGGGCTCTTTTTCCTAAACCAGTTTCTTAAATAGCTACTGTTCTCAACTTCCATCCATGGCCCACTTCTTTTCTCATTCCCTGGACCAGCTAACCCACATGTGTGGTCTGAGTCCAATGTGTTAAGGACTCCCAAATCTGTATCTCCTGTTCTGATAGTCATGCCCTGAGTTTCCGACCCTACACTCAACTCAGCATGAACTGGATGTCCCACAACTCCCCAAACACAAGATATTCAAAACCAAAGCCAGGGGGTGCCTGGGTGGCTCAGTTGGTTGAGCATCCGACTTTGGCTCAGGTCTTGACCTCGCGGTCCATGAGTTCAAGCCCCGCGTGGGGCTCTGTGCTAACAGCTCAGAGCCTGGAACCTGCTTCGGATTCTGTGTCTCCCTCTCTCTCTGACCTCCCCCGGTCACGCTCTGTCTCTCTCTCTGTCAAAAATAAATAAACATTAAAAAAAAAAAAAAAGCCAGGACTTTGGCTAAGAGCTCTCCAGAGCCGGACCAAGGCTGCTTGGGTGCGGAACTCGGTTCTGCCATTTACCAGCTATGTGACTTCAGGCAAGTTAATCAGGCTGCCTATGTCTCAATCTCATCATCTGTAAATGGGGACGATAATAATAGTATCGATAATAGATTATAGATACTATAATAGGTAGGTAATAATAAGAGTAGATAATATAATAATAACATAAAATAGACCTTACCCAGTTGTTGTGGGGAAGGAATGATTATCACATGTAAAGTTCTCAGAAGAGTGTGGGACCAAGAAAGAGCTGTATATGTGCTAAGAATGATTTTCATGTCATTTCTCCCCGCTATGACCGGCCTCTCATTTAATGGTACCGTCATTAACCCATCACCTCTGCCAGGATTCTGGGAGTCCTCTCAGATGCTTCGTCTCCCTCGCTTTCCCCTGTCCTGCTGGTTTTCTCTCTTAACACTTCTCGAACTTTCTCCTTCTCCTCATCTCCCTCCTTTGGAGCCACTTAGGTTGACAAACCACGTGAATTTGCCCGGGACTCAGGACTGCTTCCTGGGGTGCGCGGCCTTCTGTGCTAACTCCCGGAGAGCCCCGGGCACACCAGGACAGATTTGGTCACCCTCGGTCCAGACCTCCACCATCCCCTTTTGCGGGACAAACACAGTAGCCTCCTCGCTGATGCCACCGCAATGCTCCTTAAGCCCACCTCCACATCTCTGCCTGAGCGGTATTTCTAAACGAGGGGCACCTGGGTGGCTCCGTTGGTTAAGCGACCAACTCTTTGATTTTAGCTCCGATCATCACCTCACCGTTGTGAGTTCAAGCCCCAAGTGGGGCTCTGCGCTGACAGCACGGAGCCTGCTGGGGATGCTCTCCCTCCCTCTCTCTCTGCCCCTCCCCTGCTCATTCTCTCTCTCTCTCTCTCTCTCTCTCAAGATAAAGAAATAAACTTAAAAGAAATCAATAAAATAAAACTCGGACCTGCCTATGCTTAAAACCCCCTCTGTCATTTCCCAGGCTGTATGACTGAAGGGCAGGAAAGTTCTTCAGTGTTGCATAGCATGGCTCCCTTCGGCTCCATAAGCAACTCCGGCCTGTGTCTGCGGACCCTTTGCCACACAGCACGTGCGAAAGTCCCTGCAGACACACCTCTGTGTCCTGCTCGTGCGCCGTGCCTGGTCCGAAACCTGTTCCTACCTTTGTCTTCCCCATCCTCTTTCCATAGCTCGTATTTCTCCTTCAAAAGGAAACTCAGGGGTCCTCTCCCCCAGGAGGCCCTCCCTGACGCTCACCCCTCCCTCCCCCCCCCCACTCCTGGGTAAGCTAGGTGCCCCTCTCTGTGCGCCCACACGGCCCTGGGGTCACAGCCATGGGGGCATGGGCAACACTGTAAGGGGCATGATCGCTGTACAGCCATGGACTGTGAGTGCCCTGGTCTCGATCCTCCCCATCCTCCCCAGCACTCAGTGCGAGCTGTCTGGCCCCCCGGTAGGTGCTCTCTGCTGAGCCCGCTAGTCTGTCCCCGCCTCTCCAGGACCTCATCCCTAACCCGCATGCGCGCATTTTCTCTGCGCCAACAGGTCTACCGTAGGAGAGCTCTGATTGGCTGAGAGGTCACGTGTGCTGAGGGGACACCTCCTTCCTATTGGACAGCTCTGTACCTAAGCCTCAAGTAGGCTGCAAGGTGGCCCCGTTTACACTCCTGTATTTCCTCTTCCCAAGTCCGTTCCCTACAAGGGTTTCTTTTTCTTTAAGGTTTTTTTTTTTTTTTTTTTTTTTTTTTTTACTTATTTTGAGAGCGAGCAGGCGAGGGAGGAACAGAGAGAGAGAATCCCAAGCAGGCTCTGAGCTGTCAGTGCAGAGCCCCACTCTGGGTTTGGACTCACAAACTGTGACATCATGACCTGAGCTGAAATCGGAAGTCCCACACTTAACCGACCGAGCCACCCAGGCACCCCCAACAGTTCCTGTGTCTCATGACCTCCTGAAACAACCTGCCTGTAGGCTTTTCGAGACTCTAAACTTACCACCCCTTCGTGTTTCCTTCTTTCCCTGCACTGACTTGCTGGAGGAAGCGCCAGGTGCTTTGCTTTGCTCTTGGAACCCAGGCCGGTCAGTTATGTGCTCTGCACGAACGGCCAGACGAACACCGCGTGGTAGGGGAGCTTCGCGGTGAGCTGGAGTGAGGGTGTTCTCCGCTTGGAGAACAGCAGGGCAAGGGCACTGTGGCTGGATTGGTGAGCTTAAGGGGCAGCAACGAGACTCATTGGGCTGGCTGGGAAGTTTGATAGAGGAAAGCGGTGGGAAATGAGGCAGGAATGGTAGAATCGGGGCTTTGGGGGCATGGGAGGCAGGAAGCCCCTGACAGCGAACCGTGAATAGCAGCATTTTGCTCAGCCCCTAACGAGCTGAGGCTGAGACCTTTTGCAAATACGGAGTCTCGCCCTTTCAACTGACCTCCAGGGCCGCATCCATAGAATGAAATCCAAAAGCCCCGTGGTCGTCACAGGGCCAAAGCCAGGCAGGGTCGGCTGTGGGGAGGCACGCAGACCACAAGGGGGAAATGAAGGCCTCTGTGTGCACGGCGGGCAGGTGGAAGGAGGCCCGGAGACCGCCGCTGGCTATCTGGGGGGCAAGGTCAGGCAGGCCCAGATCCTGCTGGGAGATACCTAGAACAGCCTGACGCAGAGAAAGAGCACTGAGTGGGGAGTCAGGGAGCTGGTTCCCACGCCTACTATTGTGAAAGCTTCAGAAGGTCACGGTCAATCCCTCCAGACCTCAGTCTTCTCCCTCACCAGCTGGGGCCAGTTCAAGCGGGGTCCCCTAAGCCATCGTAATGCATCTGGCTTTCCCCACCCCCCGGCCCACACAGGAATTTAGCCTCCCTGCAGTCTCTCCAGATACTTCTGGAAGGTCACGGATGACACCCCAATGCTCATAGTGGTCCAACTAGCATCCTGGTCAGTGTCCTGCCCCCACTCCGACGAATGTTCGGCCGAAATGCCCAGATGTGCCTGACTCCCCACCCCCACCCCCCACCTCCACCCAGTTTCGGCTGCTGCTTGTACCTCTGCTCTAACACAGGGAAAAGCTGGATTAGCTCCATGGTCCCCATCCTGCCTGCAAAAGGGAGTTTGTTAAAGATGCCTGTGCCTGGGCTCAAGTCCAGACCATGTCAGTAGGAATCTCTAATTTTGTTTTGGAAAGGTGATTTCCAGGGTTGAGAGTTCTTGAGCAAGATGAACTCTAGAGGTCCAGAATGTTGGAGGGGGGGGGACAAGCCCCCCAAAGCTGCTGTCTGCATGTAGAGTGGGCCAGCCACCTGGAAAGTCCCTCTGAAGGCCCCACCTGGAACGCAAGATGCTCCCAATCCTCTCCCGAGAGGTCCCCTCCCTCTGGGCAGCCCCTCGGGTCAGGGGATTAGAGCCTGCTGGCTGCTTTCCTTTGGTCCTGGGTACTTTCTAGAGAAGCCACGCGGGGCTTTGGAGCATAGAAGGCAGGAAGCCCTTTGCCCCAGGTTTCCTGTGCAGGGAATAGATGCCTTCCCACCTGTGCCTGGTCCCTAGACAGTTCCATGGTGCAAACAGATACAGGGCTGGTCTGCGTCATGAGGGTAGGTGGCCGCTTCCTAGACCCTCTATCTCGGCCCCAGGGAAATCATTTCGTATGTGAGTCAACTCTGAGGACAGCGGTCAGGACTCCTAAAATCCCTGAAATATTCCCCACCCCCACCCCCACCCGCCAAAATTGCACATGTAACATACACACCCGTTCTATGGAGGTCTCAGGTACCTTGATAACTTGGCAAGATCTAGGTTGTCGAAATTTAGGACAACTGCAGAAATGACGAGACACCTGGGGGCCGGGGCAGCCCAGACACAGTTTCTGCAGAATACTGTCACTGCTCCAAGTCACTTGCAGGAAGAGAGTTGGGGACCCCGTGCACTGAACAAAGACACCGGAGAGGGTAGGAGGTGTTGGCAAGGCCATCTGTCACGAAGGTGACGCTCACACGAGCTCTCTTTGTTTGCAGGTGGTGACAAACACCTTCCGGACGGCCAACATCCAGATCCAGAGCCAGGACCAGAGGCTCCTGACGCTGCTCCTGGACAAGGACAGTCGGCGAACGTTCAAGGACGTGGTCAGGTGAGGCCGGGCCTCGACACCCCTGCATGCCCCACGGGGCACACGTGAGCGGCAGCCGGCCCCTCCTATCTCCTGCCTCTAGCCTGGGACACCTGTCGCAGGCAAACCCTGTGGCCGGGCAGGTGTCCCTGGTGGGATGGACTTAGGCCACTGCCCTGTGACTTCCTATGAATCCAGGGAGAAGAACTAATGAATGGCTGACTCTGGCCAGCCCCTGCCATTTAAGTTTCCGGAGATTCCTCTACGTACACTCGGCCCGCGGCCACAGATCTGACCCCCTGTGTTGGCACAGTCCCTCCCACAAAGGTTAACCTGGGGCTGCTTAGAGGTTTCCCCTGGGGCGGTGTATTTGGGTAAGGAAGGCATACACCGAGTGACTGCGCAGGCACGCCTCCTCTCTCGGTGTCCACCCCACCCCCACCCCGCCCAGGATGCTCTTTCCTTGTCCTGACTCCCTCCTTCTCTCCATGAGGCCTCCTCTGTATAATCTATAATAGAGGGTCTACCTTCAAAACCCCCCCGGGGAAGATTTGACCCCAGAGATGGGTCTCCTGAGCTGGTCTCTCTCCACCCACAGATTCGAGGTCTCTCCCTGCCCAGAGCCATGTTCTGAGGCCCACAAGTCCGAGGCGTCACAGCTCGGTTCACACGGGCAGGAGGTGGAAGGGACCAAAGCCAAGCCCAAGCCCCTTCTAATGCCCATCAACACGTTCTCCGGCATCGTCCAGTGAGCCCGCAGGGGCAGCAGAAGCGCCGAGTCTGAGAGCCCAGGCCCAAGAGTACGGATACACTACCCCACCAGCCTCCAAACACTCATGCCGGCCACCAGAATGAGGCCTGGCTGCCCTGGGTGGCTTCTGGCTGTGAGTAGGAGCCAGCGAGTGACCGGAGCATAGTGCGCTTACTGGGCCGTGGCAGGTGATGGAGCAGGGCCCACACACAGGCCCCCCAGGAAGGTCCCAGCAAAGCTGCACACACGCAAGCAAGACCCGGCTCCGTGCACAAATGTCCACGCCTCCACTGATCTTCAATTCCCACTTGTGCGGCTCAAGATCCCCCCTCGGCCCTTAAACCGCCCCCAGTGAGAGATGCTGTGTCGGCCAGGGCCCTGTGGCCTGGGGGGGAGGGTGGGGGATGGGAAGCAGGCAAAGATAATTGCAGCCTCTCCCTTCCGAGAGTCTGTTCCTTTTCTTCCTTCCAGCCACCTCCTCGTCCTGCATTCCCAGGCAGGTGAGAGGAAATCGTCAGTTCCAATAAACACACTAAAGTATTTTTGCTTTTATCTAATACCTAGCGACATCTGGATTCAAAAAAAAAATCTTTTCACTGTTTATATTTTAGAGAGAGGGAGCATGAGCGGGGGAGGAGCAGAGAGAGAGAGACACACACAACCGCAAGCAGGCTCCGGGCTCTGAGCTCAGCACAGAGCCCCATGTGGGGCTCGAACTGACAAACCACAAGATCATGACCTGAGCAGAAGTCGGACGCTTAACCAACGGAGCCACCCAGGCGCCCTGAGTTCTAAAACGTGTATCCAGGGGCGCCTGGGTGGCGCAGTCGGTTGAGCGTCCGACTTCAGCCAGGTCACGATCTCGCGGTCCGTGAGTTCGAGCCCCGCGTCAGGCTCTGGGCTGATGGCTCGGAGCCTGGAGCCTGTTTCCGATTCTGTGTCTCCCTCTCTCTCTGCCCCTCCCCC